ACACCCCAGTGAGACTCAACCCTAAACCCTAAACCCTAAACCCTAAATCCTGGAGAGCTCTGAACCTCAAATCCCTGTGAGTTTCTCTCTTTTATTGTTGTGACAAAATGGCAGGTAAACTAGTGGAAAACGTTGAAAGCTGGCCTGTACGTACACCCCAAGGCGACGCAGGCGCAGCTAGAGCCAGCGAGGCACTGGCGCCCAAAACCCTAAACCCTAAACCCTAAACCCTAGCTCTCTTCTTAATGCTCTACTCTCTAAAAACTACCAAAGAAAATGAAAAACATATGTTTCCTTGTTCAAAGCCACTCTTCCCCTTCTGGCCCCGCCAGTGCTGCGCAGATGACCTCCCAGACCTTGGGGCCCGAGAGAGCTTGGCAAACCCTAAACCCTAAACCCTCGCCCTCCAAACCGTAAACCCTCAGCCATTACAAATATAATTTGAGCATTAAAGCAATTTATGAAGAGTTGAAGAGCTCAGATCTTGTCGAAAGTGCAGCAAATGCAACACTGCAACAGGTGACCTCAGGGCCTACCCGACAGTCTCAGAGTCTAAACCCTGAAACAGAAACTGCAATTCCTAGGAAACCCTAAACCCTTGAAATTCCTGAAACCTAAGAAGATCCTAAACCCTCGAAGTCCCTAAACCCTGATTATAAACCCCAGAAAACCCCAAACCCTGAACGGAATGCAAGAACTAACGTTGACTGTAGACACTAGAAACCGCTAAACCCTAAAATGACAGTAAACCCTAGAAGCCACCAAGCATATTGGAAACCCTAGAAAAACCCTAGACGTTTAATGAATTGCAAACCCTTGAAAACCCTCTGCGCGCGGCTTCAACTGCAAACCCTAGAAACTCCAAACCCTCAAACTTCAGTAAACCCTAGGTGCCCAATAAATAAAAACCCTAGAAACCTCAAACCCTTAAAATGTGGAGAGACCCCTGAAGGCCCTGAACCCCTAGACTTCCACTCTAAACCCTAGAAACTCCCAAACCCTAAAAGGGCTGTTAAGCCCAGGGTAACTCCTAAACCCTAAAAGGGCGGTTAAGCCCAGGGCCACTTGCTGCAAAACAATTCAACTTCAGTTTTCTCGGCGTCCTGTCGCCGCAAATTGAAGCATTAAAAGCGCAAATACGTCATTGTTCCGTGACAAGGAAACCTAAACCCTAAACCCTAAACCCTAAACCCTAAACCCTAACCCCGGCCAGTTTGAGGGGCAAATGCATCTGTAGTGATTTGCTGCTCCCAAACCACTGAAGGCCCCCACAAAGGCCTTCGAAGAACTGCTTGGGGGCCCCCGAGGGGCCCCTGAAGAGCTCATCAAGGGCCCCAGAGGGGCCCGTAACGAGCCTAGTAAAGGCCCCTAGAGGGGCCCTATATCAAATAATTAAGTACCTCCAAGGAGCCCCTGATGAGCTGGTTGGGGGCCCCTGAGAGGCCCCAAGCGAGCTGACTGGGGCCCCTTTGGAGAGCTCAAAGAGGCCAGGGGCCCCCTAGGGGCCCCCTAGGGGCCCCCCACCGCTCCCACAGAGAACCCCTAGAGGCCCGCTGGGGGCCCCCTAGGGACATCCTAGGGGCCCCCTAGGGGCATTCTCGGGGCCGCCTATAGGCCCCGAAGATGCGGGGCCCCCTGGGGCCCCCTGGGGGCCCCCTGGGGGCCCCCTGGGGCCCCCTGGGGTCCCCTGGGGCCCCCTAAGGGCCCCCTGGGGGCCCCATGGGGCCCCCGTCAGCGCTTGATGCGCGTGCAGGTGCACTCGAAGAGCAAGTCTGCGTTGGGGGGGATGCTGGGGGGGGCCCCCCGTTTGCCGTAGCCCAGGGCACTGGGGATGGAAACCCTTCGGGTCTCTCCCACTTTGCAGCCAATGAGGCCCAACTCGAGGCCCTTTATGACTTCGTGGGCCCCCACGCAGAAAGTTATTTTGCCTTTGTCGAAGCAGTGGCGGTTCTTCAGCAAAAGTCCTTTGTACTGAATTGTTACGTTGCAGCCCCGCTCGCAGCGGGGGGGCCCCCCGGGGCCCCCGGGGGGCCCCCCGGGGGCCCCCGTCCGCACCACCGTGAACTCCACCCCGCTCGGCAGCCGGTACACGTCGCCCGCACGCACTTCCTCGCTGCCCTGCTGCTGCTGCTGCTGCTGCTGCTGCTGCTGCTGTTGCTGCTGCTGCTGCTGGGAGAGGGGCGGCGGACGCTGCTGCGGCTTGTGCGCCTTCTGCCCGCTCAGCTGCTCAACCAGAGACGGAGTCCGCTTGGTCTCTGGCGCCAGCTCTAGCTGCAAGGATCTTTTCTGCTGCTGCTGCTGCTGCTGCTGCTGCTGCTGCTGCTTGAGCAGCTTCTGCTGCCTGTAAACCTGCTCATCGACGAGCTCAGGGACTTCATCCGCGTCGGCCTCGACCCTCCGCTTCCTCTTGCTGCTGCTGCTGCTGCTGCAGGTGCTGCTGCTGCAGTCGCTGCTGCAGCAGCTGCAGTCGTCTGCGGGGTAGGGCACGAGGGCCCCCGCCAGCTGCACTGCCCAGCCCGTCTTGCTGCTGGCCTTTGCTGCTGCTTCCAGCCAAAACTCCGTATCTTCCTGCAGCAAAACCAACCCCCCGACTTTTTTATTTTCCTTTTTTTCTTTTCTTTTCCAACAAATAAACTGCAAAAAAGTAAAATCTAATTGTGCACTGCACGCCAAACATGTCTTTCAGTCTTTCTACATACACCTGGCAGGCGTGTGAGCCTGCCAGGTGTATGTACACCTCAACGCCCAACTGCATGCATTCAGAAAAACATTTTTTCGCAGAGTTTCACGCAGATGGGATCTTTGTACAAAAAGCAGCAAAAGTGAAGCCTTATGTGCATGCAGAGTCTGTAATAATAGAACTTTGTTTAAAAATGAATTAAATCCATTTTCTAATTTTTGTGAAACGCGAACTGCATGTCTAGACACTCCAGGCCTGCAGCACGCGGCACTCGCTGCTGCTGCGTCTGCTGCTGCTGCAGCAGCTCTTTGATTTCCGAGCAGCAGCAAGCGCGAATATTGTACAAATAAATCCATAAATGAATATAAATACAAATAAATTCATTTAACTGAACTCCGCACTCTTTGCACCTTCCTTGCTGCTAAGAGGCGCGAGCCGAGGTGTACATACACCCCGGTGAAAGTGCGCAAGCTCGCATGTTTAGATGTTACAGATTTATAAATTTGTAAATATAAACAAACATCAATTAAATATATTAAAAACAAATAAAAATATATAAATGCAGTAGAGTTTACCCGCAGGCATCAACAGATCAGTACACAGAATCGCCATGACGCACTGTGCTGTTTAGGCAGCAGCCACACACGCAGGATACATAAACAGCAGCAGCAGCAGCAGCAGCAGCAACAGTAGATGCAGCAGCAGCAGCAGCACCGTGTCACTGCAGCACGAGCTTGAGCGGCAGCAGCAGCACCGGAGTCACAAGAAACCCCAGCCGCAATAGCAGACATGACAAACGCTGCAGCCTGGCCAACAGCGAGAAGCAGCAGCAGCAACTGCAGCAGCAGCAACAGCAGCAGCAGCAACAGCAGCAGCAGCAGCAGCAACTCACTGAAATTACAATCTTAATGGGCTGTCTGAACTCTCCGATCCTGGCTATGGGGGCCCTCGGCACCTTGGCCGTCCGCATCATCAGGACCCAGGAAGGGGCCTCCCGCTGCTGCTGCTGCTGCTGCTGCTGCTGTTGCTGCTGCTGTTGCTGCTGCTGCTTCTTCTTATGTTTCTGCTGCTGCAGCTGCTGCAGGTAGAAGGGACAGACGGGAACCGCCGCAGCTAAGTGAAGGATCCCTTCTTGGGATCGATACTGGAGTCGATCCCCATTTAAGGTCAACAGGCCTCCTGCAGCAGCAGCAGCAGCAGCAGCAGCCGCAGCAGCAATATGATTCGCAGCAGCAGCAACAAAGTGGCTCGGCCTTGTGCACTTACATCGAGAGGTGCAGCAGCAGCAGCAGCAGCAGCAGCAGCAATGCCTTACCCCAGAAAGCCATTGTATTAACAATAAATAGAAATAGTCCCTGAGGCTTCAAGAAAAGACTTGAGGGGTTTAGGGTTTAGTGCCTAGGGTTTAGGGTTTGGAGGGTTTGGCTCAGCGCGCCCTGGAACTCGAGAGCAGACGATGAGGGTTTAGGGTTTGCGGCTCCTAAACTCGGCAAAAATCTAAAACCCTAACTTTTAGGGTTTAGGGTTTGCCTTTAGCATTTAGGGTTTAGGGTTTAGGGTTTACAGCTGGGCGCTCGTTCTGCAGTGTCGAGACACTAGACCGCCTGTGGGACCCAAGTGCATGCGGCCCCGAATAATGGTTTAGGGTTTAGGGTTTAGGGTTTAGGGTTTAGGGTTTAGGGTTTAGGAAGCCCCATTGAAATATAAAAATAACGGAGTCAGGTCCGTGTTTCTAGTGTAGCGGAGGCGTCTGCAGCAGCAGCAGCAGCAGCAGCAGCAACCGAGCAGCTGCAGCAGCAACCCAGGGGCCCCACACTCGACTAGCGGCACAGTAGCACAGCAGCAGCAGCAGCAGCAGCAGCAGTTCTGTGGACCCTCTGGACGTTGCTGTTGCTGCTGCTGCTGCTGCTGCACATACACCCAAGACGGCCCCAGTCATCGGGGCCTCCAGCTGCTGCTGCTGCTGCTGCTGCTGCTGCTGCTGCTGTTCTCGCCGTTTCTCAGTGAAAATCAGCAGCAAATGGGCGCCACAGCTGCAGCCTCTGGCTGCCTATCAGCAGCAGCTGCTGCTGCGGCGGCCGCCGCAGCTACACGGCCGTTTGCAGCAGCAGCAGCAGCAGCAGCAGCAGCATGCAGTCAAAGAGCCCAAAGAGCCGCCGCCACGGCAGCTGCTGCAGCAACACTGAGCCGCAGCAGCAGCAGCTGCTGCTGCTGCATGCCGCGTGGGCTCTGCAGCGGTACAATGGCTTGCTGCAGCCACCAGCTTCAGGCCCACCGCAGGTGCAGCAGCAGCAGCATCTGCAGCAGCACCTGCAGCAGCATGCGATACTTCTGCTGCCCGCTCAGTACAGCAGCAGCAAGCGGTCAGCTGCAGCCCCAGCAGCAGCAGCAGCAGCAGCAGCAGCCGGAAGCAGCAGCAGCCGCCAGCAGCAGCGACGCTGCATCGACCCCTCGCCAAGACCAGCACCAGCCCGCGCAGCAGCCCCAGCCCCAGCAGCAGCAGCAGCAGCATGACCAGCAGCAGCAGCAGCAGCAGCAGCAGCAGCAGCAGCAGCAGCAGCAGGACTATCTCTATGACGCAGAAGAAGAAGTGCTAAGCCCCGAACAGCGCCAAGAGAAAGAGCGGCTTATTAAACTCTTGGCGAAGAAGCTGGCGGGGCCCTTAGCAGACGCAGACGGCTGCGTTCCCACAGGCAAACCCTAAACCCTAAACCCTAAACCCTAAACCCTAAACCCTCAAGCAGCGCTCAGCAGCTCGCAGCAGAGGCCCTTGCGAGGCGCTAGGGTTTGTGACGGCGCAGAGTCTAGGGTTTGCGACTTGAGCTTTTGGGTTTCCGCGTTAAGGGTTTGGGCGCTGCCAGCAGCAAGGGTTTAGGGTTTAGAGCTTCACGCTCCAAATTTAGGGTTTAGGGTTTAGGGTTTAGGGTAGGGTTTAGGGTTTAGGGGTAAGGGTTTAAGTTCCGGGCTGAGGTCCAGGGCACAGGCTGAGCCTGTCGAACTCGGGAATTCATTCCGAGGGTTGCGGGTCCCAGACTTCGGGCCAGAACCCACGGCTTAGGGTTTAGGGTTTAGGGTTTAGGGTTTAGGGTTTAGGGTTTAGGGTTTGGGGTTTGCGCAGGGGCTGCGCGGCCGGTGGCGATAGAAGTGGACGGCCCTTCGCACTTCTACAGCGGCACTGAACAATACACTTCTTACACGAAGTTGAAGCACCGGCTGTTGACTCGAATGGGGTTTAAAGTGCTGCACGTGCCTTACTTCGAGTGGCGCCGCCTGCGGCAAGAAACCCTAAACCCTAAACCCTAAACCCTAAACCCTAAACCCTAAACACTAAGCCCTAAGCGGGGACTGCGGCTGCAAGACGCAGAGCGCGCCTGCAGCCCGTGGCAGCAGGGGCTGGCTGCGCAGGCGGCCGCTGAGCGCAGGGGAGTCTGCACGAGGGTTTAGGGTTTAGGGTTTAGGGTTTAGGGTTTAGGGTTTAGGGTTTGCGATGCCGCTGCAGGGGCCAGCGGGAGCGAGAGGAGTACATGAAAAAGAAACTGCAGGAGGAACCCTCGGAGTGGCTAGACCCTCAAGATGAGGCCTTCTACAACCAAAGAATGGGGGTAGGCAGCTGTAGCTTAGGGTTTAGGGTTTAGGGTTTAGGGTTTAGGGTTTAGGGTTTGGAGAAGGGCCCCAGGTATTTGTGTTTTGGGCTGCGTGCGCTGTCCTGCGAACAGCTGCTGCAGCAGCAGTACCAACAGGAGCTGCAGCGGCAGGCAGCAACTTCCCAGCAGCAGCAGCAGCAGCAGCAGCAGCAGCAGCAGCAGCCGCAGCAGCAACACCAGCAGCAAGGTGGCCCCCAGCCCCAAGAGGGGCAACCGTGCAGCGTAGCCCAGCAGCAGCAGCAGCAGCAGCAGCAGCAGCAGTGGCAGCAACAGCCTCCACAGTGGCCGCAGCAGCCGCAGCAACAGCAGCAGGAGCCGCAGCAACAACAGTGGGAGCAGCAGCAGCAACAACCGCAGTGGCAGCAGCAGCAGCAACCGCAGTGGCAGCACCAACAGCCGCAGCAACAGCAGTGGCAGCAACAGCAGCAACCGCAGTGGCAGCAGCAGCAGCAACAACCGCAGTGGCAGCAGCCGCAGCAGCAGTGGCAGCAGCAGCCACAATGGCCGCAGCAGCAGTGGCAACAGCAACAGCCACAGCAGCAGTGGCAACAGCAGCAGCCACAGCAGCAGTGGCAACAGCAACAGCAGCAACCGCAGCAACCGCAGTGGCAACAGCAGCAGCAGCAACCGCAGTGGCAACAGCCGCAGCAGCAACCGCAGTGGCAACAGCAGCAGCAGCAACCGCAGTGGCAGCAGCAGCAGCCACAGCAGCAGTGGCAGCAGCAGCAGCCACAGCAACAGTGGCAGCAGTTCCCACAGTCTCAGTGGCAGCAGCTGCAGCAGCCACAGCAGCAGTGGCAGCAGCAGCCGCAGTGGCAGCCGCAGCAACCACAGCAGCAGTGGCAGCCGCAGCAGCCACAGCAGCAGTGGCAGCAGCAGCAGCCTTGGCAACAGCCTCAGCAGTGGCAGCAGCAGCCACAGCAGCAGTGGCAGCCGCAGCAGCAGAGCAGCAGCAGCACATGGGGAACCCAGCAAGCCTACCAGCA